TAAGTTGTTTGGCTGTTGGATCATGTTGCATGCCTTCTTTTATAGCGTCACGAATGTCCCAACTTGCTGAAGTGATGGCAACAAGCTCGGCTTTCCGGCTCAAGGCATCAGCTACAACATTACTTTTGCCCGGCTTGTACTCCAACACATAATCAAACTCGGCCAAGAAATCGTGCCACCTAGCCAGTTTTGGTGTGAGCTTCTTCTGCGTCTAAAAGAAGCTAGTAGCCATATTGTCGGTCTTGACCACGAACCTCGACCCGAGAAGATAATGTCGCCATGTACGAAGGCAATGCACAATGGCAGTCATTTCCTTCTCTTGCACCGTGTAACATCGCTTCGTCTCATTTAACTTGCGGCTCTCAAACGCAATGGGATGCTTATCCTGCATCAGGATACCTCCATTGGCGAAGTCTGAGGCATCTATGTGCACTTTAAATGTCTTGGCAATGTCAGGTAATGCCAAGACTGGATCTTCTATTACAACTGCCTTAAGGCCTTCAAATGCATTTTGACAATGCTCCGTCCAAACCCATGGATTGTTCTTCTTTAGTAACTCAGTCAATGGTGCGGCCTTGGATGAGTAGCTACCAATGAACCGACGATAGTAGTTAACAAGGCCAAGGAAGGATCTCAACTCAGTTACCTTTGTAGGTGCCTCCCACTCTTGGATAGCGCGTATCTTAGCCTCATCCATGCGTAGCTCGCCATTGCTAATGACATGGCCCAAGAAGTGCACCTTTAATTGTGCAAACTCACATTTCTCCCTCTTGATGTATAGCTCGTTCTCCCGCAAGACTTGGAAAACCTTCCTTAAGTGCTCCATGTGTTCCTCCAAGGTGTTGTTGTAGATGACTATGTCGTCTAGGTAGACTACCACGAACTGATCAAGGTAGGGATGGAAAATCTTGTTCATAAGGGTGCAAAATGTGGCCGGTGCATTGGTTAAGCCGAAGGGCATCACCAACCACTCAAAGGCTCCATATCTCGTCACACATGCTGTCTTTGGCTCATCCCCTTCCGCAATGCGAACCTGGTAGTAGCCCTTTCGAAGATCCGCCTTGGTAAAGTACTTTGCTTGCCCAAGTCTATCGAACAAGTCAACAATGAGCGGGATCGGGTACTTATTCTTCACTGTGACCTTATTAAGTGCTCGGTAGTCTATGCACAAGCGCAACGATCCCTCCTTCTTCTTCTGGAACAATACTGGTGCGCCAAAAAGTGCCTTTGATGGGCGAATGTGACCACCATCTAGCAGCTCTTTCAATTGTTTCTTGAGCTTCTCTAGCTCGGGCGGTGTCATACGATATGGGGCAAATAAGGGTGGCTTAGCCCCTGGCTCCAACTCAATCTTGTGATCCACCTATCGCCTAGGCGGCAAGTGCTTAGGCAACTCCTCAGGCATGACATCTTTGTTTTCCTCAAGCAACTTCTCTATGCAAGGCGACACTATCTCTTGAAAATTCTTGTCTTCCTCTAGACTTGCGATGGTTTCCACGAACGTCGGCTCCCCCTTCTTGATCCCCTTGACAACCTGCATAGCTGAGAGTTGTGCTTGGATCTGTCCATGCGGCATAGTCACTGTAGGTACCATGCAAGCTCTTTCTCGCTCCATAACCAAGAGACGTTGGAGGTAGGGGTCGACCAAAGTATGACAATGTCTAAAGAACTCTTGCCCCAATATGATGTCAAAGATATCCATAGTTGTTACGGTAAAGTTTGTCATACCTTTCCAAGTTCCCAAATTGACCCACACTCCATTAGCTACCCCATGAGCATTTTGTACCTCGGCATTCACGGTCTTGACACGAGAGTTGGTTGGAGCAAGCTTCAATTCTAGTCTCTTTGCGGTAGCCTCAGTCACGAAATTATGAGTTGCTCCAGTATCCACCATTACACGAGCGGAATATTGTTGATGGTGAGATCCACGTACTGATTTCCATTCTCAGTAGGTTGGATAGCTTGCTTTGTGATAGCACCACATAATCCGATCATACCCAACTGTGCGGTTCCCGAACTCTCTCCTTGCGGATGCTCTTTTCGTTCACGGACTATGGCGCTGAGGCTCTTTAGGTCTGGACAATTCCTGAAGCCGTGATGCCCTCCGCATATGTAGCATCCTGCTTCTCGGCCTGTGCCTTCTTCTCGGCGTAGCCCTGACGACCACTCGACTTTTTGGAATCTTGAGTCTTGGAGTATTGTTGTTGTGTCTCCTTGCCTTTGCCACGGTCTCCCCCACCTTTGACTTTGTTAACCTTTGACTCCTTGCCATTGCCTTTGTCGTGCTTGTCATGCCTGAAATCCATCAATGGTTCGGCCTCCACTATGGCTTGGTCTATATCAGTGACTTGTCGGCGTTGCAACTCCTGCTTAGCCAATTTTGCAACCCGTCCATGAAGTGGAACAACAAGTCATCATTGGTCAGGTTAGGGATTTGAAGCATAAGGGTAGTGAACTCCTTGACATAGACACGTACGCTCCCTGTTTGCTTCAACTCCCTAAGCTTGCGCCTTGCCTCATACAAGACATTGTTTGGAAAGAACTGTCGCTTGAACTCGGCTTTGAACTGATCCCACGTGCTAATAGTACATAGACCTTTATCCATGTCGGCCATCTTCCTTCTCCACCATAACATGGCAGTCTCTGAGAGGTACAAGACGGCAGTGTTGATCTTGGCCTCGTCGTCCCTCACTTTTCCGTGCTTGAAGTAGTTCTCCAAGTGCCAAAGGAAGTTTTCCACTTCTTGTGCATCACGAACACCTTTGTACACCGGGGGTTTGCGAGCCTCGATCTTGGCCTCCCTTGTCACCACAACATTGCTGGCTGCCTCGGTCACGCCAGCATTGATATGCTCCTCGAGTGACTCTATCTTTGCCTTCATAGCATCGATAGTACTCAAAGCCTACATGAGTCTGCACTCTAAGGAAGTGATGGTTTGCCTTAGTTCCATCTCGGTCTGTGTACATCCCTCCAAGTCATTTCGGATACTCTCAATCTCTTCAAGAGTGTGCTCCCCAAGAACGCTAAGGGTGCCTTCCACCTTCCCCAAGCGTTGGCCAAAGATCTCCACGGCGTCCATCCCCGCGTTCATCTTCATCACCCACTCTTTACCGAGCGAGACGTCCTCGAGCAGGACCTCCACTTCATCCTCGCTCGCCTCAGTGGCAGATGGTTCTTGGGATGTAAAAATTTGATCACGCCAAACTATGCCTTATAAAAAGGACTAAGCGGTCGTTGCAAATATAATCCGGTTTTCATGTCCGGAGTCGAATCTCACAGAGAACTAAGGCTTAGCTACAGTTGTTCAGTATCACCGAGAATACAAGCTTGAACAATTCCTAACTTATAGATATTAAGATTCTTGTGTTTAACTAACTAACTAACAAATTAAAATAATAAATTAACACTAAAGATACTACAGGTTGGAGAAAAGATTAAGGATGTCTAGAGTTATGATTTCCCCAATTGTCGGAATCCTTCCCGCTATGTCTTCTATCCTCGGGTGGCACCTCCTGGCTCTTGTTGGTGGCATTCCTCTTTTTGCTACGGCCGCTCTTGCCAGCAACATCCTGGATGACGTTGGCTTGGGTGTTGTTAACGTTAATTTCTCCGTCGTTCGCCATTCCCTTAGTTGCAACATTTGCTCTGATACCACGTTGTCACGTCCTTAGTTGTTAACTAAGTACACGTGTGGCACTTGACAATTCGCTCACGATTTTGCACAGCTTGCTCACGTTCTTGCTATGCCAAGTTAGCCTTACTACACTCCAGATCGCAAAGAGAATGGTAGAAAGAACACAACAGAATTGTTAAAGGAAGCTTTGTATTAGAGAGAACTTGAATTGTTTTCTTGGTGAATTACAAATGAATGCGCCCCTTTATATACTAGTCTCCTAGGGGCCAGTGTGTAAATATTAATTGTTACACAAGTCCTTAATATTTACAAGATAAGGGCTTTCTCTAGAATTCTCTACAAGCCTAGAAGATTCCAAGGACTTTCCTAGCAAATCCATAAGGATCTGGGGTCTTCCTAAGGAAATGTTCATATTTCTCTAGAATCTTCTCACAAATGCTAGTCTTCCTCTTATGTAAGCTTCCACATAGCATTAATATATGCCAAATGGATGTGTCATGATGACATGGCGGGTCATCACAAAAGGCTCATAAATCTTTGAGTGTTATTGAAAGAACAAGTCTCTGTGAAGCCATAATTTCACTTTCTTTGATAGCTAATCTGTCTCCTTGACATTTATGACAAGTCACAAGGACCGCAATACCAACAACTGTTACTTGTAATCACATGACATTTCAATTTTCATACTTATATATCATCCACCAATTATCTTTATGGGATAAGGTTTAAACAAATTTTGATATTATTTAACCGCCCTAAACCTTGGACTTTTTTGGATCATATACAATTGTGATTCGGCCCTTCTTCGGGCCACGCACATAATGTGCGAGAGCTTAGTGCACTGAACTGCCTTTTATAAGGTTCACAGCGACAGTGCTTTCACATCTGACATGTCATATTTGTAATCAACAGGATAACTGTGACTGACAATCTCTAACTGACCACAACCTTAGAGAATTCTTCATTAATAGAAAAATCTGAAACAATAACTCCCAGAAACAGAATACAATAATTGTAGCAAACTGCAGATTTGAAACAACATAAGGATGCAAGGATGCTTGAGCTTTTACAGGAGAATCAACTGAGCTGCATTTAAAGATTTAAAGGATACCAAATGACAGTAAAAAGGCGCGGGGGGGGGTGGGGGG